ATCACTTAGAATTAGTGTACAAAAGGCCTATTTAAAAAATCACTTGTGTGATGAGTTGAAAGAACTGTTCCTTCTTATAAAAGTATTTTTAAAAAACTGAGAGGAAAACAAAATCAGTGCTATTGATGGGAGACAGAAAAAGATTAAACCAAATCACAGTTATGCTTGCAGAAAGAAAGAAGGAACTAATAAGAGGAGAGAGATGGATATGAGACCACATATAAGGACTTAATAAAAGTCGCTATCATTAACAAGCACCTTGTGAAAAACAGCAACTTGATGGTTTCACTTAAAAGTTTAACTTAAAATAGCCAATAATCAAAGAACACTAAACAGATACTTGCCATTTTCAGAAAACAAAATATAATCTATCTGCTTCCACAGTGAAAGATCACAGAAAATATTATATCTTTAAGCAAATCAACCACTTCAATGGATATAAACTAGACATTTTTCACTGCAAAAATATTAGATTCCTAAAGAAGGTGTTTGATTTACATAACCAATTCTCAATCACTAAATCAGAATTTCTTTTGGATGACAGTAGGCAGACGTTTATGTTTATGGAAAAAAAGAGAGGGCAAGAGTATAAAGATATTAACAAATTTTACATCATAATTAAGGCCAATATCTATTGGTTTAAGAAAATAAGCTGTATTCAAGTATTTTGTAAGAGTCATTTATATGTTTGAAAACATAATTAAAATATAAATCAAGCCTTAGCAACTTGATCCACTGCTGCCTTAAGTAACTAATACCAAAACAATTCTGATCAAAACTAGAAATGAAACTTCCACTAGCCAGTAACTGTAAATAACTGAAAGTCATACAACTCATTTTGCTTGAAAATACATGATATATTTACACTACCTCCAGATGATTTTTCCCCAGTCATCCTAATTAGTGAAGTCTTAACATATGACCACTCTCTTTTGTTAAAACGATGAGAAAATTTGGCATTTAGGTATGCAGTAATACTTGAGACACTGCCCAAGCTAAAACAAAAATCATTAAAGGGCCTCCCTGGTGGCGCAGTGGTTGAGAGTCCGCCTGCCGATGCGGGGG